TAGATGGATAGATGGATAGATGGATAGATGGATAGATGGCTAGATGGATACTGTAGATGGATAGATGGATAGATAGACAGATCGATAATTAGATAAGATCAGATTAGATCAGATTAGTTTGATAGATTGGTTGAGTTAGATAAGCAGAAAGGGATGGTGTGGAGGGCTGATTCTTACGGTGTTTTGAAAAAGTCACTAGAAAGCATCTTTGGTCACTATACTATCAAATCCTCATTGTTTTACTTTTCTTTGCGATTCTCGTTATCTATTTGGCTTTGGGGTCATTAAGATTAATCAAAAAAGGTTATGTTTTACAATTTCTTTGTGCTATTATTTGCTAATATACAAACCTAGAATATCAACGAAATTTTAGCTACACTGCATAAGAAATCTGAACTATTGGCCATATCAGCTGAATGCATAAAGAGGAATGGACAGATATGGGTCAACATTTGGATTAATATATTGTTACATGATCAGTAAATGAAAGGATTTAGAATCTAAATATTGGAGAAGAATGAGATGCTGCATGCATTGCCATGGCGCCTTGTGATAGGGATGTCATTGACTGTAAGGCTTGACCCTAACCTACCGTCACTTTCCAGGTTGGATTCTTTGAGTGTTTTTTCTAGGGGTCCTTCTAATTCCAAACGGACTTGTTTCTATTGAAGAGTTTGGGATTGGCACGCGTATTATCCCAGATGATTTTTGCAACATAAGTTTAATGTTTCCTTTGCTGGTGGACAAATTGTAATCAACCACTTAGAATACACAGTTCTTTTCACAACAGACCTAATTTACGCTGATATCTCAAGGAAGGCATGCTTTGGAAGAGAGAAATATGTTTTACTTCAAGGTATTGTCATAATTTTCTACATAAACAAATGATGTTTGCAGAAGGGTTGTTCATACTTTTTCAAAAAAAACAGAGAATATAAGATTAAGGGGTGCACCTTATTTTCACCTTAACTTTCTTTTGTATGTGCACAGGATTGTTCAGGGACAACCCTTCAATAAGTTAGGTTATATATATATTATTGCCAAAGAAACGTTAGAAATACATATCAAACAATGCAAAAAAAACATCGTAAAAATCAAACCACCAACTCTCCAGATAAATTATATAGATACATTAAATTCGGTAGATAGTTTAAGTAGAGTAGATAAATTAGGTAGGTTAGATAGATTAGATAGATTCGATCGATTAGATCGATTAGATCGATTAGATAGAATTGGATAGATTAGATAGATTCGATCGATTAGATCGATTAGATAGATTAGATAGATTAGATAGAACTGGATAGATTAGATAGATTAGGTAGATTAGATAAGGTCGATCAGATAACTTAGATAGTTTAGATAGCTTAGATAGATTAGACAGACCAGATGGATGAATGGATGGATGGCTGGTTGGTTGGCTACATAGATAGATAGATAGATAGATAGAAAGATAGAAATATACAAAAATAGAAAGATAGAAATAATTTATACATGCAAGTGCTCCATATCTCGCACTTTATCTTCCCTTATGTCCGTCCATGCGCTTATATAAACCCTTGGATGCAAACATGCACACATGTGTGCATGCGAATGTGCATGTTTACCCATCACATGGGACATAGGCACACACACACACATGCTATTTGAAACCAGACAGGACCTCCATGCAGCTTCAGGCATCGTCCATGCTTTTTTGCGAGTCCTCACTGACGACTTTGTGGATGGTGGCATGTTTGCGGTGAGGCAGGAGTTCCTACTCTTTCTGAACATTGTTGGCTTCAGTATGAGTCTTGGGAGTCGTGATGAGGGTTCTTGCAAACCAACATGGGGAGATACATAGGGACCCTTCTTAGCCAACTTGTTCCTTTGGAGTCTTGGTTCAACTGGGCTTCCAGGGCCAGATGAAAGGGATCTGGTTCAGATCCGGACTGACACCCGTCATGGTTTTCTTGGATACTAGTTTTCACGCTGAGGGAATTGTCACCTTTTTAAACCGTTCTTATACGATCTGAATAAATATACCCAAGGCCTGCAAAAAAACCAAACTACATACTACATACATCTAAAGACGTCAAACGGAAAACCCTTCAAGCAATGAAGAATAGAGGAGAGGCTTCCACAACCTCCCATAGCCTTCCACAACCTTCACAAAACTCGACTAAAATGATGGTCATTTTGAGCGCCTACTGCCCACCGGTCGCCAAGGATCATGGACCGAATCTTGCAACAAAAGGCCGAGTTGGAACTGGAACGTGGCAAAGTCGCCTCCCAGCTGTCTGCCGCCTCGTCATTATTGTGCCTCACTTGTGATGCCGTGATTGAGCTAGACAACAATCTATGCTTGACAGAAGACTCACCGGAGCTGGCCCACATGCTAATGACTCTCTGGCAAGCAAGAGTATCCCTTCCCCCTGTTCATACCCACCCCCAAGAAACCCTGACTTAGCTTAGTATTCTATTTGTGAACTCTGGGATCCCGTTTGCGAGACGCACAGGCCCGTTTCACTTCTTGCAGAACCCTTCATAGTTTGATGGTCCAATTTTTTGGGCGGGATTCGGTAGTTGAAAATATGTTCTTAGATGTTCTTAGTTTTTTGGGGCCCTGTCAACGCAAAAAGATCAGAATGAATCCTGTGGCAGAGCGAGGAATGGGATATGTATCCTGTACGGACAGTGATTTTATTTACAGCACATGTGAAGTGGAACGGGTTGCCATTTTCATCCATTTTCCATAATTTTGCGTGTTGCAAGGAGAACTGGACCCCGGGCAGACTTGAAAGGAGCCAACTTTTTGGACTTCATGGCCCAGGATGAAGCGGTGCGAACCCATAGCTTTCTGGAATCGGAGGAGAGGCCCTCTGGAAGTTCTCTGACTCTTAGCCCCAAACGGCACATTACGGCAAGAGCCTTTCACACGCGCTGCTTGGATGGCACTTAGACTTAGACCGACTTAGACCTTCACATTTTTCCCCAACACCATAAGCTGATGGGGTCTTCAGCCCATAATAGCTCCGGTGTGCACTGGTGCAGGCGCCGGGTCAGGTTCAACGAGGTTCCGGAGAAGGTTCCGAAGGTTCCGGAGAAGGTCTGGGAGGCTTTGGTGCAGAGCCAGGTCAGGTTCAACAGGGTTCCGGAGAAGGTTCCGGAGAAGGTTTGGGACTTTGGTGCAAAGGCAGGTCAGGTTCAACAGGGTTCGGAAGAAGGTTCCGGAGAAGGTTCCGGAGAAGTCTGGGAGGCTTTGGTGCAGAGCCAGGTCAGGTTCAACAGGGTTCCGGAGAAGGTGCCGGAGAAGGTTCCAGGGAGCCTTGGTGCAAAGCCAAGTCAGGTTCAACAGGGTTCCGGAGAAGGTTCCGGAGAATGTTCCGGAGGTCGGGGAGGCTTTAGTGCAGAGCCAGGCCAGGTTCAACAGGATTCCGGAGAAGGTTCCGGAGAAAGTTTGGGGCGCTTTGGTGCAAAGCCAGGTCAAGTTTAACAGGGTTCCGAAGGGTTCCGGAGAAGGTTTGGGAAGCTTTGGTGCAAAGCCAGGTCAAATTTAACAGGGTTCCGAAGAGTTCCGGAGAAGGTTCCAGGAAGCCTTGGTGCAAAGCCAAGTCAGGTTCAACAGGGTTCCGGAAAAGGAGAAGGTTCTGGAGAAGGTTTGGGAGGCTTTGGTGCAGAGCCAGGTCATGTTCAACAGGCTTCCGGTGAAGGTTCCGGAGAAGTTTCCGGGAGGCTTTGGTACAGAGCCGAGTCAGGTGCAACAGGGTTCCGAAGAAGGTTCCGGAGAAGGTTTGGGAGGTTTTGGTGCAGAGCCAGGTCAGGTTCAACAAGGTTCCGAAGAAGGTTCCGGAGAAGATTGCGAGAGGCTTTGGTGCAGAGCCAGGTCAGGTTCAACAGGGTTCCGGAGAAGGTTCCGGTGAAGGTCTGGGAGGCTTTGGTGCAGAGCCAGGTCAGGTTCATTTGGGTTCCGAAGAAGTTCCGGAGAAGGCCTGGGAGGCTTTGGTGCAGAGCCAGGTCAGGAGACTTTGGTGCAGAGCCAGGTCAGGTTCAACAGGGTTCCGGAGAAGGTTCCGGAGAAGGCCTGGGAGGCTTTGGTGCAGAGCCAGGTCAGGTGCAACAGGGTTCCGGAGAAAGAAGGTTCCGGAGAAGGTCTGGGAGGCTTTGGTGCAGAGCCAGGTCAGGTTCAACAGGGTTCCGGAGAAGGTGCCGGAGAAGGCCTGGGAGTCTTTGGTGCAGAGCCGGGTCATGTTCAACAGGTTCCGGAGAAGGTTCGGGACAAGGTCTGGGAGGCTTTGGTGCAGACCCAGCGCTTGGCTTCGCAGCACGCTTTAGGAAGATTTGTAAAATAAAACTTTGTGGCTGTCGGGGATACCACCGAAGCTGATTTCTTGAGATATTGGTCAGTGAGTGTCATCAGAAACGAAATTCTACACCTGGTTTGATGGCGCGGCCAGTAATTCGAGAAAAACTGGCTGGGCATGGAACGTAAAATGGTATTCACGGTATGCAATGATGGTTGCTGGGTCATGGGAAGGATCATGAAGGATCCTAAACCTGAGGGATTCCAAGGGTTTCGGTGCTGCCGTTTCCACCCATACCATCCCACACTTGAAGCGTGGCCGACTATTGGCTGAGGTCTTATCGACAGTTACAACACCAAAATTTGCATGGAGGTCTTCCAAGTTAGGTGCAGGGGATGCAACATGGGGATGGGTCGCCATCCATAATTTTATCCCAACCTGCAGCAGAGAAATGTCAACATTATCAACATCCGAGAAAAGTCCGCACTGTCATGCAGAGTCCGTTTTCATTCACTTTTCAGATATTCTGTGATTTTTGGGCCGATGAAAAGCCCGGTGCCAGGGTTCCATGCTCTGACGGCCCAATTTTGTGAAACTTGTGCATTGTGACAGACGATAAGCCGATAAGCCTCAGGTACTCCAACATGGATGGCCAGAAATACAATCTTTTGGGGCTTCGGGATTTCACGGAGACTTGGTTTGGACATGTTTACATATTTGAATGATTTTGAATGTATCAATTCGACGAAACCTGACTCAAAATGATTGGTATTTGAGTGGTTGCACCAATTCCCAGTTGATTGTAATTTCCTTTCTTATGATGCAATCAAAGCGGTGCTGGGCTGGCTCTTGGGGCAAACCCTCTGAGACGCCCCGGCAAAAAAATCAAAGCAGAACCGTTTCTCGCAAACCACCCGTTTCGGACCGAGGACGTGAAGTCTTTGGCAGGAGAGAACGCTGCTGATGCCATTACGGAACTGGACATTGCCGTGTCTCCGAGCCAGTCTGTGTCCATGTACATGAGTGAAGGTTTCAGCGAGTGCGAAGGTGTCTCCACTCAAACTTAAGGTAGGACACCAATCAGACGTTGTGACAATGGTCTTATCTTTGCGCGGCGCCATACATGCATACTTGAATACATGCATGCATACACAGCTGGAACAAACCTCGAATCAGAAACAAAGACTCAGAAACTAAAACCCGCGAATCAGAAACTAAAATCCGCGAATCAGAAACCAAACTCCCACGAATCAGAAACCAAAAACCGCGCGAATCAGAAACTAAAATACAGGAATCAGATACAAAACCCCGCGAATCAGAAACTGAGAATCAGAAACTAAAGATTGCGAATCAGACACCAAGATCCGCGAACCAGAAACCAAACAAGCCCACGAATCAGAAACCAAAAAACAACGAATCTGAAACCAAATCTGCCACTCCCTCTGAACATTTTTTTGAATGAGATATTACCGCCAACTTATCCTCATAAGGGATCAAACCCGCCACCCCCTCTGAACAGAATGTTGAAAAGGATATTGCATTTATTTATTTTTTCCCCGTGAGGGATAAAATCCGCCACCCCCCCTGGCCATTATGTTGAATGAGATATTGCCTTCAACATATCCCCATACCGGACCAAATCCGCCACCCTCTCTGATCACTATGTTGGAATATGTTGAATGGGATATTACCTTCAACACATATGGGATCAAATCCGGCACCCCCTCTGACCATTATATTGAATGGGATATTACCTTCAAAGTATCCTCATAAGGGATCAAATCCGGCACCCCCTCTGACCATTATATTGAATGGGATATTACCTTCAAAGTATCCTCATAAGGGATCAAATCCGGCAACCCCTCTGACCATTATGTAACTTCCTTTTGTAAGGTATCAAAACCCCCCCACCTTCTCTGAACACTCTGTTGAATGGGATATTGCCTTCAACTTGTCTCCATAAGAAATCAAATCCGCCACCCCCTCTGGCCACTTTGTTGAATAAGATATTGCCTTCAACAAGAAATCAAATCCGCCACCCCCTCTGGCCACTATGTTGAATACATTTGAATAGGATATTGCCTTCAACTTCTCTTTGTAAGGTATCAAAATCCGCCACCCCCTTGGTTCACTATGTTGAATGGGATATTCCCTTCAACTTATCTTCGTAAGACATCCAACCTGCCACCCCCTCTGGTCATTATGTTGAATGAGATATTACCTTCAACTTACCCACATATGGGATCAAATCCGGCACCCCCTCTGACCATTATGTTGAATGAGCTATTACCCTCAACTTATCTTCATAAGAAATCAATTCTTCCACCCCCTCTGGCCATTATTTTGAACAGGATATTACCTCCAACTTCTCTGTCCGATTGAAGGAGACAAGTTGCCCATTCTCATTGGTTCAGCCTCAGCTGGTTAAGTTTCCGATTCTCCGGTTTTAGTTTCCGATTCACCTGCTTTAGTTTCCGATTCACCTGCTTTAGTTTCCGATTCGCCTGCTTTAGTTTACGATTCAGCTGTGGTTGCCGATTCCGGGGTTTTGGTTTTTACGATTCAAGGTTCTTAGTTTCGATTCATGGGTTTTAGTTTCCGATTCTTTTGGTTTCCGATTAGCAGGTTTTAGTTTCCGATTAACGGGTTTTGGTTTCCGATTCACGGGTTTTTGTTTCCGATTAACAGGTTTTAGTTTCCGATTAATAGCTTGACCGCATACATACACCCATACATCCATACATCCACACATGCATGCACATGCATGCATGCAGACAGACAGGCAGACAGACCGACAGACAGACGGACGGACGGACAGACAGGCAGGCAGGCAGACAGACATACACACATACATATGGTCTATCTATCCATCTATCGATCTATCTATCTATCTATCGATCTATCAATCTATCAATCTATCAATCTATCAATCAATCAATCAATCTATCTATCTATCAATCTATCTATCTGTGCAAGATATCACAAAATCGCACATGCATACGTACACACATACACACATCCACACATACACATACACAACACACACGCACACAAGATACACACAACACAAGCACATACGTCCATTTGTACACCATACATCCGTACATTTGTACAACCGTAAATCCGTACAGCCGTACATCAATGTATCGATACATGCATACATGCATACAGACACACCTACATACCTACACACGCACGTACGTACATAGGTACGTACCTACATACATGCACACACACACACATACACGCATACACCGTACGTAGGTACGTACAGACATGACATTACAAATGCGTTATAATACATTTATACATTCTATTTCATTACATCGCATTGCCTTTCATTGCATTACATTGCCTTGCACTGCATTGCATTACATTGCATTACATTGCATACATATGTACATATATACAAAAACAATCAAAAACACAAACGCACATACACACACACACACCCACACCCACACACACCCACACACCCACCCACGCACGCATGCACGCACGCACACACACGCACACACACACACATGCACACACACACACACACCCACACACGCACACACGCACACACACACACATATATATAATATACCAATACAATATATACACATACAAAAATTTGTTTTCAACGCATACATACACGAACACACATTAGACACAAACGCATGTACACACACACACACGCACGCACACACACACACAGACACATATGTATATATATATATATGCGCATATGTATTGTGCAAAGTTGTGCGAACACACGCACATGCACACATATCACATATCCATGTTACATGTGTATATACATATATATATATCCTGCATGTAATGTAGTTCTATAGAAACACATAGAGAAACCACACAGAAGTGGTCTCACTTGACCAACTGACTAGGTTCACCTGGGATGAGTCAGTTTGACTCAGACTCGTCGGAACTCCATTTGGCTGAAGCTTGGCCCCAAGAAGGCACGTTTCCAAAATATGGTGGGATGAGAAAGTGAGAAGCATTGAGAAACCATCAAAATCTGGGGCGATGCCAGAGCCATTGATTTTTGTACAGTAAATGGAACCAACCAGAAGTCGGATTTCGCAAAAGTGTCAGGACGTTTCAGGGTGTACCGGTAATAATCTGCAATAGATGGGAAAGGGAAGCCAATGAAAATAGCAGGGCAAACCATGTCCATCTATCTGGCTATGAAAGCCTGCTGGCAATTCCAATTTGATCTGATCGGATGTTGCTACCGAACAGGACTCTGGGCCTTGATGTTTGAACCATGCTGCCCAGGTAAATCGTGTTGGATCAAAGAAAGAGAAAGATATTTACTTGGACATCGATGTTGAAGGCGCTGTTGGGAGATGTGTAGCTGCTGACGAAGAATTTGGCACTGTAGACTGCTTGTAACAGCATCCAAGAGCTGCATTATATAAATTTGTATGATGCTTCTAGATTCTTACTTAGTCTTGTGGGTTTCTTCGTTTGTGACATGCCTGACATGCCGTAATTCCGTTTATCAATCTTTCAGTCTCACCTCACACGACTCAAGTGACTCAAGCCAAGGTCTACTTGTCCATGCTGCATCCTCGCCTTTGATGGACTTGACGGGAAAATCTTTGAGAGAAGTATTTCCATCGCCACACACGTGGTTGCTCATGCAATCGTTGCTTTCCTGCATCCTGGGATATCCTGGGCATGTTTTTTGATGGGAATCAATATGAATCAACTCAGAAATTGTCAGAATGTCGTGGAATGGCAGCGACTCGCTGTAGATCTCTCTTGTGAAACCTGGCGAGATGATCATCCAAACGGGAAGCTAAGAGAAACATGGAGAAACAGAGTTTTTTTGAACACCATCATTTAAACCTTGGTTTTTCTTTTCTTTTCTTGCAGTATAGCATTATTAAACCATATTAAACATTTCCATCATTTTTTTCCAGGAAAAACATGCACTTTCAGCAGCTTCGCGGCTTCGCCTGGGCTCAGGTTGCACTCCGAGGCAAAGCTGTCGCTAGGAACCTTTGACCGAGTCCTTACGTACAAGGCCTGGCTTGAGCTTGCGAAAACTCATGAAATTTGATGAAAATTGATGAAGTAGTTGACAGATTTGATGGTCACACCCTGGCAAGATACGAAATGCCGAAACCTTTGGAGTAACATGTGGAAAATTGATGTTATCTTTTAAGATCTTTTAAGCAGATCCGGCAAATGTTCAGAACAGTTTAGACTCTCCAGATCTGGCTTTCCAACTTCGACACAGGATCTACCATTCACTGGGCTTCGGCCTGGGAAGATCTCTGGCACCATGCACGTGACCAAGACCCTAGGTGAACGTCATGGAGGTTTAAAACATTTAAAACAAAACTTATGGCGAGCTTATATCCAAGAAAGAAGGTTGAACAGTTTTGAGTCGGGAGAGTGATATTTGGGAATCGATCTTAGGAATAGATTTGACCAGATTCACATCATGATGGTCTTCGTTGAGCGGGCGTCTGGCAGACAAAACCATCGCAGGTGGGCACGGCCGGGCACGGACGGGCACGGTGGGCACCCCAAATTGGAATGGTTGGGTATGTTCTCAACTTGTGCACCCTCCGGTGCTCAAACCTTGCTGGAACTTCACCTAAAATCACCAATGCAAACAAATTTGTATGCCATGACATACGTGCAAATATGGCGACGTTCCATGATTTCACACGCAGCTATATCACCTTCCCTCAAACATATACAATTCCCCGCTGGAAACATTCAATCGATTTATATCGGATCTATGCATTCTGTGAGGCCTACTTGAATTCCGATCCACAGATGGGATTCCTAGAGGGTGCCCCTGAAATAAATCACCACGGCCATGGGCACCAGTGGATTTTGCCATTTTTGAACACACCCAAATTGCTTGAACATCCTGGTTGAAATCTCCAATGGAAAACTTGGTGCACATTCTGTTGCGTTAAAAAGGTTTGGACACCTGAGTGATGTTGGAGCATATTTGGTAACGTTAAAAGGTCTTCGCTAACTTTATTAAATTGATCTTCAGAGAGCGATGATGAGAACATGACCCAAGGCGCCACTTCATCCATAAGAAAAGCAAGCATGGGTGTAGGACCCGCTTTGGGTTTGTCTGAAAAATAGGATATCCGGGTACCTCAAAATCTGAGCGGAAAAAGCAATCCCATTGTGTCATTGAAAACATATTGGAGGTGCATACCCATTTTTTGTGTTTGGATACGCCCATATCAAATTGTTGGTTCCATGCTCAAAAGAGGCCTGGTTTTATCCCTCTCGATTTCTGGGCAAACCCATTTGAGCAACTATCACTATCATTTCTAGTTAACATTGGTTAATCAATCATCCAATAATGATCCATTAATCCGTATACTATGGGACTAATCCATTTCATGTGTCAACATTTCTATCATTAACCATCCATTGTGTTGACAAAATGCCAGGATTTTGATCCGTATACTCTGTGCTGCTCCCTGCACAACTTCCATAGGACCGGATCTGAACGCCGCCCACGATCCGGACCTTTGCGACCTCCATCGACAGTGACGGCTTTGTGATGGGCAGATGGTGGTGATTGGGGTTAGAACATGTTAGAACCATGGAAACATCAAAGAAACATCTGGGAATCTGGGAATATGAAAAAATATGGAGGGTTGAAGAAGTGAATTTGGATAGAAACCAACTCATGATGGTTAAACACTGGGGGATGATTTTTGGCTTCAAAAAGGGAGAAATCCAATCCATGATAGTGATTACTTACATGATTACGGCAACCTTGATAAGAGCCAAAGCCTTGGATGGCACAGCCCGAGTTTTGTTTGGGCTCGAGCCCACATTGAAACCAGCAGATCTGGCCGAAGATGGCCTGCACCTGCAGTTGGATGATGAGACAATAACTTTTAACGGCAGATGCTGCAGATTGCTGCAGTCCTTCGCAATGTGTTGGATATGTGTTGGCCCGGCTTGCCAGGCTCACCTTTCTGGAATGGGAGAACGGGGCACTTACCCTTAATCACATTTGGCAAGGACCATATCATTATCATTCATTATCATTGGAAAAAGCTGTATGCAAATTATTAGTAAAAACAAGCCTGTGGCGCCAATTGTGACCCCTTTGACAACGCACTTTTTCCAGGCCTTCGCGCCATACCGTGGTAGTGGAAATTGCAACTTCGACAGCTAATTTGGAACTGAAAAAAACGCGGCCCTCGTGAGGCGGAAGCATTTTTACAACGTACTGTATTTTGGCCTTAACATGATTTATATAGACGGGAAGCTCTTTTGAGCCGCATTTTTTCTAAGCTTCTAGCAAGATCCACAACTTGCAACCGGCATACAAGCACATGAAACTTTTCATACAACGTCGAATCAAGTCGGTGTGCAAGTGGAAGAGAAGTTCTTGCAACGTCGAATCAAGTCGGTGGGCAAGTGGAAGAGAAGTTCTTGCAACGTCGAATCAAGTCGGTGGGCAAGTGGAAGAGAAGTTCTTGCAACGTCGAATCAAGTCGGTGGGCAAGTGGAAGAGAAGTTCTTCCAACAAAGCATCAAGAAGTTCTTACAACGTAGCATCAAGAAGTTTTGTGAACGTAGCATCAAGCCGGTGCGCAAGTGCAAGAGATTGTCTTAGCAGGCAACTAAACATGAACGTTACTACGTCCCCCTCTAACCCCACCCCACCCCCCAACCCACACCACCAACTGCCCCACACCATCTGCAACAAGACATGAAATACGAATGAAAATTGGCAAGAACGGAGGGGTCGTTATTGGCGCCGTTGGCAAAAACAATCTGCTAGTACAATTGGATTGGAACATCTGGGGATTTTTGTACTATGGTTTTGATATGTTTTGATTGTTGTAGAGCCTTTGATTATTATAGAGTAATGTTGGAGAGATAGGAAGTTGGCGAAGCGACAGCTCTGTAAGCAGAGCAGCTTGAAAGCCGTCTCCGTCTCATATGCTTCCCATGGGTGTGGTCATCCCTTGGCGCACCTGAGAGATCCGAGAGAAGATGACGACTGATGTTTCCCATTTTTTCATATTTTTTCCATTACAAAGCGGCAACGATCATACAAAAGTGTCGCAGAGTCGCATCAAATTCTACCACTGCCCCCTCTTTTTAGTTTTTTTTTTTGGGGGGGGGGCATGTTTTCTCTTCAGAAAGTTGCAGCAGTTGTCACTGGTCCTGCGGCCGGTGCTCACAACCTCCTATGGTGATACAATGTGATGGCTTTGTCGGTTCGATTCATTAAATTTGTTGAACTATCCTGAGCCATTTTTTTCCACGTTTTTTTTAATTATCTCTTGGAGATTTCAAGAGGCAACCTCATTCGATAGGTCAAAAGACCGGCCAAATTATCCTAGGAGTTTCACATGTGATTTCTTTGCTGTTCATTTTACTTGATTTTGGAAACCATCCTCATCATACGCTATGCTGTTGAGGGCCGATATCAGCGGACCTTTAGCTGATTTCTGTTGCTCTGAATCGCAGACAAGTAGAAGAAACCGTGCAATATATATATATATATAACTATATAAACTATAGATTGTATGAGTAGATGAAAACCTTTCCGCACAACATCAGAGTGAAGCCTGACTGCTGCACCCATGGTTTTGCGCGTAGAACTTGTGCTTGGCGATGACGCTTTAATATGCACCAAGAGGCACCTATCGCAATGGTGGAGAGGACGGCCAACTGTCCTTTCGCTATCGAGTTTGCACGATATCGGCCGTTTGTCCGCAAAAGCTGGAAACGCGTCGTTACTTGCAAGCAGGAGCTTCCAGTTTTTACGCGACTACCAGCAACGTCAAAACAGAGTCCGGCTTGGATGTTTCAACGCTGCAGCTTGAGATTTCTGTGTATATAAATATATATAATATATATATAATATGGGTTCTATACATATATATATATAATGTTGACGTGCTATTAATAAACCCACCCCAAACATTAAGAGCATCAAAATAAAGTTTAGGCCAAACATTGGCTGGGGGTCGCTGGAAAAAATCCAGACCTATGTGGCGCCGAACAAATTGCCTAATTGAAAACGAATACATAAGTGGACTTTCTTTCCATTTTAGTATGTTCCATTTTAGGGTTCAAATAGGAAAGCAATTGAGAAACGAATCCAACCACCAAAAAATTAGACCCCTGAAATCAAAATACTTTATTTAGGGGGTTGCAAACATTCATTGTTATTTAATATTATTTAGATGTTAGTGGCTCCAGGGCTACCTGAAAAAAAACAGGAAAAAAAACCGGGAAAACCCATATCAAAAATCGGTTGGTGTACTTTATTACGGGGGGGGGGGGGGTTTATTAATATTTCCCGGGATAGGGCGTACTTAATTGCGGGGGGCTCTTTAATAGCACCCGGACATTATATATCCTTGAGGCATCAACCGTCTTTTTTCAAGTCTTTCTCTGTCATTATTTTTGATCAACCTTTTGCAGGGATGCACCAACCATCCCCAACCTATTAGAGCATATTAGAGCATCCCCCAAAAGGATAGAACGTTCGTAAAACCAATTTTTACTTGGGGAGAAATCGCTGTTCTATCTTTTTTGGGCTTGCTAAATAATGTAAATAGGTAAATGATTGCGATACTTTACCCAACTTCCTGGGATCCGGGATCCGGTTGGGAGCGTTTTGGGAGGACCCCGTGGAGCAGCTTGAAGCAATCGATGAGTTGTTCATACAGTGCCCAGGTTGCAAGGTGCAATGTTGGAATTTTTGGGAGGTCAAACTTCTTGACAGCCCCCATTTTGGATGGTTGAAATATGTTTCAACAAAAGTTATGTTTCAACAAAAGTGGGTCCTCACATGTTTACCAACAGTTTTTAAAAACTTGAACCATCAATTGGTGGTAAATGGGTGGCATGGTCATCACATATCTCGCTGCCTCTTCTCAGGTTTGAGAAGACCTCACTGGACACGGTGCCGGCAACTCAGCGGTGGCCCAGGTGGCTGACAGGCTGATATACTGTGCTCGGATGTGTATCACTGACTTCGTTTTATGATGTTTTATGCGGTTTAAATGTCCTGATGTTTGAAACACAGATATGATAGATGCTTTTTGAGCATCTATGCTGTGGATTCATCGTCGACTGCGCCTGCCTGCCTGCCACTTTTTGGGTTCAGGAGGGAGGGAGATGGCGCCACCTGAAGCAGTTGGTTTGGTGGATCCAGATCTAGACGATCTGGATGAAGACAGTCAAAGCAGCGCAAAGCCACTGGCCCTGGTCCTTTTTTCAGTCCTCTCAGTTCTTCTTCTCTTCATCACCGTGGGAACCATTGACCTGAACAAGTGGACTGAGGCAGAGCACCGGAAGCTAAATGAGGATGACTTCTTCACACCCTTTGACTACGAAGCCGCGCTGAACCCTACAACCACTTCGAATCCAGAAGAAGGGAGCATGATCCCTTACATGGAGAAAGGTATGGAATTTGCCGGAGCTACCCGCTTGGTGTGGAGAAATGTGCTCATTCCATCGGAATGTTGTGCCAGGTGTCAAAACGATGCCCGGTGTCGTGTGTGGGTCCTTGACTCAGAGACTCATGAGTGCAGCCTAAAGTGGGTGGAGCCAAACGCAACCTTGGAAAAGGTACCCAAGAAGAGCCTGGGTGGTGCGACAGCTTTTCCAAGACTTTTCTTCATGGCTTTGTTCCATCTTCATCCCATTTCATCCATTGTTATTTATGGGGAACTAGAGAGTAGAGAGTATTGGTGAACCGGGTTGGTATCAGCAACCAGGAACTACATTTCGGGCTTACCTTTCAAATGGAGCAAGAAAAGCGTGCTGTGCTTCGCAGTAATGCGACCCGATACTTATGAGCAAGGCCTCATTGCTTGGCAGTATCGCAACAAGGCGCTGTCTCTTCGTGGGTAAACCATGTCCCCGTCCTAAACGGACACATGGTGGCCCCCAAATGACTTGTTGACTTGTCATGTCATAGCTTGACATCTTAGCTATGGATGCTATGGGAGCTGGGGACAGTCAATATCCCTTGTATATCCCTTGTAAAAGTAAATGGAGAGCTGAAGATACTGAACAGCCCACCAGCAAAATCTGGTGATGCTCCGCGAGGTGAACATTTTTGCCTGCGATGAGTGGGCCGTCTACAGCAGCCGCAAAGTGGATGTGGTTCCAGGTTTCTTGCAATCCGCAGTGGTGGACAGCGACTTAAAATGCGATGTTGGAGGTGAGTTTGGTGCCTGGGCACTGCTCAAGTTGCAAAAAATGGTTTATTTATTTTGTTTGAACTTCATTAGGATTTGTGGATCTTTCTCGGCTTGAAGTAGTCGGTAGCCTGGTAGCGCATCACCCAGGTGCAGCCTTGAACACAGAGATCTTCTTCAAAGTTTGGGACCGTGTTTTTCAGGACAAACGCTATCTTTTTCACGAATATGTTGTGAAGGTGGATCCTGACACAGTCTTCCTGGTGGATCGTTTGCGTGTGGCCCTTGCATTCCATCATGATGAGGAAGGAGGGGTCTACTTCAACAACTGCAAATTTGGTTTGCATGGACCCATCGAAGTTTTTTCACAGAAAGCAGTGGACGTTTGGCAGGGTGGGCGCCAAAGATGCGTGCACCACTTCGAGAAGCTTTGCTCAGGGCCATGCTTGTGGGGAGAGGATATGTTCATAGACCAATGTCTCCAGAAAGTGCTGAAAGTGAAGCGCGTGAATGACTGGAACTTGATCAGTGAGGCTCATTGTGACTCACCAGATTGGCCAGAATGTCGCAATGGACATGTGACCTTTCATCCCTTTAAGGACTTGGTGTCATATCAGCAGTGCTTGGAGAATGCAGCCGCCAAGTCATGGACTGCTGGAGGGCAGCTGGTGGTTTGAAGAATTCGAGGGTCAAGAGATTCCGGTCTCTGATCCCAGTGAGCGCAAGTTTCACAAGGCATGGCATCCCAGGCAACCGGTTGGCAACCAGTGATCCAAATCATTCCAAATCCAAATGTTAAGAAATGTCGAGCCCTCAAACATCTCACAATATTTCATTTGCCATTTGGATGTTACATCCGAGGCGATGATTTTTTCTTGTTGGTGCCTTCCAGGTTGGGGATGACCATGGATGACCCACTGGGATGCTCCGCCCCAAAATGTTGAGCCAACCTTGGGGAACTTTGAGCTGCTCGGGCTGCTTGGGGAATCCCCCAAATCCAATGGGTTTCTCATATTTCAGCATCACTTCCCCCATTGAAAGTTGCCATTGTTGGTACCCATCATTGACAACCCCCACAGACATTTTTTTGGGGATCCCCGATGTCGCCCGAGGCTTGCTGCTGATGTGTTGCCCTGGGTGCTGCAACTGAGCCAGGACAGGATCGCAATGTCCAATGCCAGAATTCACCAGAAATCATTTCTGGTGTGGTATTGTTGGTATCGTTAGGTGCCCCTGGATGCTTTGTCGAAAGCCTTTTCAGGACAGCAACAACTCGAACCTTCAAACGCAGGCGTCATGGAATCTCAGTGATGGCCTGAATGGCAAGAGTCCTTGATAGGGACATCCGTTGCACTGCGCGACGCCATATTGCGCATATTATGATTCTTATGATATGTTTTTTCCTGCACATTGCACTCATCATCTACTGTATGTGTTGCTGTGTTGCACTATCACTATATTATTATATAGTATGCATCACACGAGGTTGTATTTTTAGGTTGCATGACGTCACATCACATGACAGCACAAACTGCTGAACATGCATACGCACATGCAGACGCGCTCGCGCATACATGCTTACGGAAATCAACAGAGGATGCCATGTGGTTGCCGTTTATGTGCAGAACACATGGGGTCAAAGTCAGGTACCAAGGCCCATGATGGGAATGCAGGAATAGCCGGAATAGCATACTTCCCACCCCAGGTAGATCCAGGTAGTGTTTTTGCACAGGCTTTGAACTTTCGAAGCGTTTCGAAGCGGTGGTTTGTACCAGGCCCTGTGGGCTTTGCAACGTTTCTCGGAGGGCACACCCAAGCAGACAAAGTGCATGGTGGAGCAGGTGGAAGCGGTGTGGGCCAGGAGTAACTTCTCACGTTCTGGACACCAGTGGACATTTTGGGAAAATGAACAGCTATTAGATTCATTATGATTCATTAGATTTTTGGGTGCCCCAGTTTCAGACCCCAAGTATTACAGAAGAATGAAACAGATAGAGAGAGAGAGAGAGAGAGAAGGAGATAGATAGATTGGATTAGATTAGATTAAATCGGATTTGATAAGATAAGATATAAGATATAAGTAAGTGATATAAGATATAAATGATATAATATATAAGTGATATAATATATAAGTGACATAAGATATAAGTGACATAAGATATAAGTGATATAAGCTGTAAGTGATATAAGATATAAGATATAAGTTATAAGATCTAAGATCTAAGATAAAAGATTTAAGATCAGGTATGATAAGATAGATAAATAGATAGATAGATAGATAGATAGATCGATAGATAGATAGATAGGTAGATAGATAGATAGACAGATAGATAGATAGATAGACAGATAGATAGATAGACAGATAGATAGATAGATAGATAGATAGATCATGATAGATCATGATAGATCATGATAGATCATGATAGATCATGATAGATCATGATAGATCTCTCTCCCTCTCTCTACTGATCTACTTTCCAATGCCAGCTTTTCATCCGACCCGTCCCAGCCTTACAGAAAGTGAATCAGCCATAGGAAAGCCATGGCCATGTGACAGTGACATTCCTTGGCAGGGTGCCCTAAAGCGTCTCACGCCTTTGTTGACAGCTCGGGCACACACGTACCTTGGCAGCAACGGACCCTACCCGCCAGCTGGTGGCATTTTGCTCAGTTTTTGCTGCAGAACATGTAGAACTTCTTGTTCGATTTCCACTCAATTGGCATCCTTCTCAAGGTTGCTTGCCCCTGTGACTAAGGCAGGAGCAAGCCAGTTCCTCAGACTGCCGCCTTTTTGTGGCTATAAGACTCCAAAGTGGGTTATTTCGGGTCACATTTTTTGACAAGCCACATGCCTCCGCTGAAAGGTTTAAAAGGGGCAGATCATGGCACATCTTTCGCATCTTTCGCCCCTGATGCATCATACCAGAGATATGATTCTAGCTATACATACCGCTTTATTGCAGAGATACGTATGCACAACCATGCTCACGGTAAGGGACATCAGGTCCAAATAAATCTAAAAATCATACTGTACGTACCATATATCAAAAATATTCAAAAATCATAAATACCATATATCATCATATATCATCATAAATCTAAATCATTAGGCGCGTGATGTGCGTTATGCCCTTTCTGAGTTTTCATCCTCCGGCACCATGAGGCACTGCTGATTATCACCAATGTGGCGATGGCCTCCGAAGAATTGAGAAACGAGGTGATTCACGCTGGCATCGTAGACTATGTCACGGGCCAGTGCCTAGGCCACCACCTACCAGACAAGATCAATGTTGTATCAGTTGTATCTGTATTCCATATATCTGGATATATCTGGTAGAATATGACGACAATCATATAGAACAATATAATATATTATAGACCTGTATCAATATCATAGACCAATGTATATCAATGTTTATATCTATCAAACAGATTGGCAATAAGTATATTTGCAATAGCTTCTATCATCTTATATCCAACGTACTTTCATCCCACACATACCTTGCGAATGGCTTTTCGGACATTTCATACTCATTAGCGGCTACATTTGCCAGAGGTCACAGTTCATCAGCTTGTGCACTACATACCGTGATTTATCATGACCCACATTTAGTGCTATGTGTTTCAATATTACTTTGGGTGGGGGGTCTAAATGAATTGGATCAATGCTGAATAACCCCATCCCCCTAATACTGTTTACCACCGATATCCACCGAGAATATGGGCCCAAAAAGGAACATATCATTTTTGCCGAGGTTCAATGGTTCAGAACCCCTGGCAGTGGTGCAGAAGGCCACAAGCAGCTGTGCTATTTGTTTGGGACTGCCAGGGTACCGTGGGTGTGAAGATATTGGAAGAGTTTAAGGAGTGTGAAGAGGCCCAAATTGCATAGGCAGTTGATGGGTCAGAATTTAAGACCCACAAAAACACAGATGTTAGCCTATTGTTAGCATTGACATACTAAAGCATCTATATAATATCATTTAATTATTGTACCCTAAATGTTCATCCATACCCCATACGCTCCAATAAATTAACATAGATTCTGGCAAATAGGGGTTGGAAGACACTAAACATGGTGATTTTTGGCGTCTATGTTAATGTATGAAAGGGTACCCCATATGTTGTATCAACTTCGCGGAAGGTCCGTGGCCCGTGCTGTCTTCGCTGCGAGGCCGCGGGGCTCCTCCGGGCAATTTGCTCATGGCCGTGTGCAGAGTTCGCCGCAGGAGTGTGCCGGGCTTAGCTGCCAATAAGGGCCAGCCCCAACAGAAAACGGAGTCTGAGAATGGTGGGAATCTCCGCCCCTAAATCCATGTGTGACTTCATGATCATTCATCATTTTCCCCACTAAATTGCCATTTCCGATCATTTCGATTTTCAATCATCCAAAGAGGCGAAGACATGCCAACCTTGTGGGAATACAGCGCCCTCTGGTCACCAAAGAATCAGCATCTCCAATGTCTGGGATTTTCAAATATGATGAATAATGACTCAATAGCATCATATACCCTCTGGTAATTTGTTACATAGCTATTGAAAATGACCATAGAAATAGTGGATTTTCCCATTAAAAATGGTGATTTTCCATAGTTATGTTAGTTTACCAGAGGGTAACATCAATAACCTTCCACCATTGAAATCTGTTGAACCACAAGCTGACATTCCGTGCCATAGCCAGAGACTATTTTATTCGAATCCGTGCCACATGAAGTGCTCCCATTCTTCGCCTTCCGAATTCCATGATTTTTTGATGTTCCTATTCTGGTGGCTTTGTTGGCGGCAGATTTTCGGTTTCAGGTAAGACCACATACACCCCCAAAAATGTGCCACAACTTTCAGGCTCGAGGCTTGGATCATCAATACAATGCAATGTACCATTGCTGTATCGTCAATGTCTCCGTTGTTCCATTGAACAGATCACAATGCTTATCGATATAGTATCAATCAACGAGTTTTTTTTTGGTTGATCCAGGGTGGATGTTTAGCCGCTATAGCCACTGCCAACGCTTCAGCTTCCACCAGAGGTCCAAGCGGTTGTTGAGCGCTTTGTCGTTGCTACTGACCTTCAACGACAGCTGTGTGTTAGTCAACGTGGGGGTACCCAGCGCCAAGATGATGGGTACGAAAAGCAAACATGAATTTACTGGGGACTTGGTTCATAGGAGGCATGCTAATATCAAAGGAATTCAATGGATACTTGTCGCTATCACTAGTTTATACTATTGAAATCCGAATGAACTGATTTGTTTGCAGCGGTTCTAGCGGCTGCTCGACGATCATGTAGGCGCTTGGCCAGAGGTCTAGGGTCAGATCCAACAGACACACACACATACGCATAATGTACATTTACTTATGCAACTGTACAACATCTTTATATTATAATGTTTTATTGTGTACGCACACCGGTCACATCCTTGCGCTACAATCCACTGTGGTCAGCCTACAACGGGGCTCACCCCTACTCTCAACCCCAAGGCCTGTGAGGCTTTAGCTATGCTACCGTGCCCGCGCTGCAATTAACACTGTATGCAGAATAGACGTGGATAAAGCGAGGATACCTGGATAGGTAGGCTGATAGCTGGGTACACGGCAAGATTGATGGCCCTGAAAGCGTCTATGTATTCAGGTGATTGAATGCAACATTCCCAGCCCTCATAATGTGGACCCTTTGTGTCACAGGCATTCTGATTCCCAGCACCTTGCAGTGCACCTCGGATTCAACAGCAAGGGGGTCATGGCAGCATTCGATTTGATGTTGTGAGATGCGGTCACACTTGCAGTTCATGTTGCTGGCACATGGGGCCAGCTATGGTTGCCGTGTGACCTCATGCAAGGCTATTGATGCGAGGCACCATAGAACGCTTGGTCTTTCTCTTGGAGAGTTCGTCGGGCGAGGCCGGAACCACTGCCAAGCTCCGTTTCGGGCATGGCAAGCAAAATGAAACAAGACGCAGCCGATGTCTCTGTATGTCTGTATGTCTCTGTTGCCAAGGGTGTAGTGAGGTATATGGCTCACTTTGTTCAGCTTTCACCGAAACTATCGTACTACGTCCCTGCAGCAATTGGCAAAATAATGGTGACTTTCGTCAGGTCCAGGCACCCGCCTGCCGTGCGCTTGAGAGAATTGCATGTGCCAGCAAGACAGGTGCCCGTTTGGTCTGAGAGATTGGGCCAAGAAGCAGATCCTTGTGGCAAGTTAGACGGAAGTTTGGCATCACGCCAATTTCCAAAGGTTGGCCAACTTAATATAGCTCTCCAGAGGATAGATTAGGATGGCTAGGATTCATTCTGCACAGGAATGCAAGCTCTTTTGGTCTGCGAGCCCCTTGCAGCTCTGAAGGTGTGGATCCTGGTACGCTGGGTGGAGGGGCCTCTGCCACACTGGCTGCTTTTTTTTTCTCCTCTGATGGCGCAGGAGTTGATGGAAAGTGATGAGCCAGCACTGCAGCTAGAAAGCACGGTGTCGCAACCTTAGGGTCTGGATTTCCGTCAGCCATCATTTTCCCATAACCGCCTCGCACGTCTCAACCTCCATCAGACCAATGGCATCCATGGGTCTGAGGTTGGTGGCCAATACGATCGCATTTGGAGGTCCACATGTGGAGGAGGTTTTGAAAGCAGGCTGACCGATGATGACAAATGCATACAAATGCTAGGTCAAGGCCAGTTAATTGGTGTGTTGAGGTGTGATAGAATCAAGGACTGACGTGGCAGTTATCTTGGAGTCTGGTGCACCACCTCATTTGATCACTCTGCTGCCGGCGGGCTCAGTTTCAGCTGAGTCCATCCCCCGCCCCCTTTTGGGGCGGCGACCTGGGGTTCAGCCATGGATGAGACACCCTCGAGCGCAGGTGGTCATCTGGCCACAAGGGGTCATGGGTGTTGGTCATGTGTGTGTGTGTGTATGATGGACGAGTCAAGACAATTGTAATGTCTTGGTCTTTGACAAAGAAAAACGCATTAATCATCACAAAGGGTCGAGCCATTGAGTGTCGAGGCAGTCCGAAAAGCCAAGCCCGAAAGAAAGAGAGAAGGTTGCCCACCTGGTCACTTGGCATCAGTTGGCATTCCAGCGCCATGCTTTGATCAAACCCTGGCAATTAGAACTTGGTAATCATTCTCATGGCTAGGGATGAAATTTCAAGACCCACAAGCCCCATGTTGGGTCGTCACTGTCGCTTGGCCCATTTGTTTTGCTCAGGGGCCAGCTCGAGTCAAGGAAGGTGAATGCCGCTTGCGCCATGGATCGGGTGGAGTTTCTCGCGAGCACTAGGACCGGCCATGCGGACTTCGCAGGAAATTGGGACTATAACATATTTATATAATTGTACATAGATTTGAATATAGTGATGATATGTAATAATAATAACAATAATAATAATGACAATAAACATAACAATAATAATGAGAGAGAGAGAGATATAATTATATATACACGTATGTGTGTGCGTATTGTTTTTTTTTGGAATGTTTTGGCTCCCTCCAAAGGTGGAAACCCATGGAAAACCACAATCACTGGTTTCCATGGTGAAACACGAATATCAAATAGAGAAAAGAGATAGAGAGAGAGAGAGAGTGCAGGATCTCGGAATATTCTTGTTGGACACACCCAGGTGTCTAGAAGTCTAGACACGTGCTTGCAATTGTTTGGAAGCATTACGACAGGCCTGTAGGTTTACAGGACGGTGTCGGGCATATTGTATTTGTTTCTCGCTTGTTCATCTCGTTCATTGAAGTTCCTTCGTGTTTGAGAGGGTTCTTGCCGCCAGGAATCGTTTCACGGAGTTCAGAGCTTCAGAAGCAAACGAGATGAGGTGAAATTCTTGCTTTCCCTTGGTGTGCGGCTTCCCATCGCAACCTCGTACAACTTCCACATCTGGTTGCTGTGAAAGTGTTTTTTTCTCCAGATTCTCCAGGTCCAGGGGACCAGGGGAAGCAACTTGGGTGATGCTGATGCCTCGAATAGCATAGTCTGCCATGTCGCGAATTGGAAAATTGCCACAGGCAAGCCATTCGTTCCAGGAGCACGCCGAGCATGTACATGCGGTGGCACGACTCAAATCAGTTGGTGACTGTGGGTGTCAAGTTGTGGCGGCTGCTGAAAGCGACAATGCGCCAAGTAAGTCCCCAGGAAAGGAAACGAGTCTTCTGGGAAGGGATGGCAAGTATGATTGCAGCTCATAGCCACTTTTGGTTTTCAAAGCCCGACTGAAAGCTCGAGAAATACAGATAACACAGTAGCAGCGAAAAGATGTGAAACAGAACGTGTTTCATGTTGATAAGAATCCCAGCCTGGTTATATCACCTATTTTTGTGGCTTAAAGCCCCATCAGTATACAGTCAATCTTCCCCTGGTCCAAGCCTTAGAGCAACTGGTTAAAGCTAAGGCGCACCCTGTCGTCAAGCGCTGAGGGTGCTGCTGAAGTACTGACAAAGCAGGAGCTGCGACAGAGCCTGAAAAGCCTGGGCATTTAGGGAATGGTTGAGTTTATTCGGAGGCTTCCTACAATGGGGGGTGCCCCCAAATCATCAATTTTTTTTGGATTTTCCATTATAAACCATCCATTTTGGGGTACACCCATTGATGGAACCCCCATTTGTGGCTGGTTCCTCTTGGTTACTCAATGCTCTTCACTTGGGAGATTCTTAAGGGTTGTAGAGAAACATATATTGGAGTCTGTCGCAGCTGCACTATCCAACTGCTGCGTCAACGGCAACCGGCATCACTTGGTCAGAACACGACGCTCACCACTGCCAAGACAAATGTGCTCCGTTTAGAAGCTCTCAACAAGTTTATTGTGGAGAAGGAGAAGCACACAGGACAGGGATGATAGGGATGGTGCTGTGGCACTGGTCATGCTTGGGATTGATGCCAAGATTTGGGGATTCCAGATCCTCCATCTTCCTTGTGGGGGCCATCGCCATCCCTAGGCCACTGGATCCGGCAGTGGATGCTATAGAGGGTATGTTCACCTCACTCATGTGTGCACCACCGGGATTCGGGATAGCTTCTTTGTTTCGTGACTCCAGGAGGCAAAAAGCAAGAACAAGCTGCACTCAGTTCCTTTGCTTCACAACTCACTGCCAAACTGAATGAAAAAAGAGCAACCTTTCTGCAGCAGGAAGGTTTTCTTCTCTTCCAGACTTTGATCTTCCTCATGAATACCGATGTGCGCTCATCAAACCAAGGTTTTGCAAGAAAGTCCCAGCCCATCGTCAAGCCGTACCCCATGTACGATGAACTCTACAATCTACCGCTACGGGACAGTTGCCAGGGTTATGAAGTATTACTGATGCCATCTGATGCCCATTGGTGCTGCCTGCGCCGTTGTGTAGGCTGCAAGGAGAGAACACTAATAAATTATCAAGATATATGATATACGTAGATATGCAATGATATTCATCGTGTTGGATTAGTGTCTCAATGGATATGAGGTGAGGCGATTTCTTCCCGTAAGTTGAAATATGTTGAAATCACTTCAGGATCCAGATCGACCTCGAGAATTTCCAGTCAGTGCAGCGACTTGGCGATTTTGCTGATTCTGCCACTGGTGAGCACTGGTGAGTAATCTTTGATTCATTTCAGGATTTTAATGGGAAGGTCCCAAAAACACCGAAACACTGGATATAAATGGATATAAAGGATATAGACTTAATAGACCTGCAGATTTGGTGATTCTTGGGACCAGACTATCATAAACTCCTCATTTTCGGAGATCATGCCATCACTAGCCGCCACATAGCCGTCCAGGTCAGCTGCCTGCTGGGATACCAGCCACCCAAAAAGGCATTGAGACATGGCATGTTCGGGAGACTCAGCGCCACGAACACCAGGAACACCAGGAACAACGATTAAGCGTTTCCTCCATGTTCTTGTGGAAACATGCGGGAACACGTGGAACATGTGGAAAAATGGGGAAACATGTGGAATCAGACAACGCGCAAACAAGCAAGCAAGCAAGCAAGCAAGCAAGCAAGCAAGCAAACAAACAAACAATCAAACACACACTCAGACACACAAACACTCAAACACACGCACACATTATATATATATATGTATGTATGTAATGTAATGTAATGTAATGTTATGTTATGTTATGTTATGTTATGTATGTATGTATGTATGTACGTACGTACGTACGTACGTACGTATGTATGTATGTATGTAATGTATGTAATGTATGTAATGTATGTAATGTATGTAATGTATGTAATGTATGTAATGTATGTAATGTATGTAATGTATGTAATGTATGTAATGTATGTAATGTATGTAATGTATGTAATGTATGTAATGTATGTAATGTATGTAATGTATGTATGTATGTAATGTAATGTAATGTAATGTATGTATGTATGTATGTAATGTAATGTAATGTATGTATGTATGTATGTAATGGATTGTGTATATGTATGTATGTATGTGTATGTATGTAATGTATGTAATGGTATGTATGTAATGTATGTAATGTATGTATATGTATGTAATGGTATGTATGTAATGTATGTTATGTATGTTATGTATGTTATGTATGTTATGTATGTATGTATGTATGTATGTATGTATGTATGTATGTATGTATGTATGTATGTATGTATGTATGTATTAATGTAATGTAATGTAATGTAATGTAATGTAATGTAATGTATGTAATGTATGTAATGTATGTAATGTATGTAATGTATGTAATGTATGTAATGTATGTAATGTATGTAATGTATGTAATGTATGTAATGTATGTAATGTATGTAATGTATGTAATGTATGTAATGTATGTAATGGATGTAATGGATGTAATGGATGTAATGGATGTAATGGATGTAATGTATGTAATGGATGTAATGTATGTAATGTATGTAATGTATGTAATGTATGTAATGTATGTAATGTATGTAATGTATGTAATGTATGTAATGGATGTAATGGATGTAATGGATGTAATGGATGTAATGGATGTAATGGATGTAATGGATGTAATGGTATGTAATGGTATGTAATGGTATGTAATGGTATGTAATGGTATGTAATGGTATGTAATGGTATGTAATGGTATGTAATGGTATGTAATGGTATGTAATGGTATGTAATGGTATGTAATGTATGTAATGGTATGTAATGTATGTAATGTATGTAATGTATGTAATGTATGTAATGTATGTAATGTATGTAATGGTATGTAATGTATGTAAGGTATGTAATGGTATGTAATGTATGTAATGTATGTAATGTATGTAATGTATGTATGTATGTATGTATGTATGGTATGTATGTATATGTATGTATGTATGTATGTATGTATGTATGTATGTATGTATGTATGTATGTATGTATGTATGTATGTATGTGTATGTATGTATGTATGTATGTATGTAGTATGTATGTATGTATGTATGTATGTATGTATGTATGTATGTATGTATGTATGTATGTATGTATGTATGTATGTATGTATGTATGTATGTATGTATGTATGTATGTATATTATTTATTTATTTATTTATCTATTTATTTATTTATTTGCTTATTTGTGTTTTTGCAATTTAATTATTTATTTATTTATCTATTTATTTACTTATTTATTTATTCATTTGTTTATTTATACACAATGTACATGTATATTTGTTCGTTCATTTTTGTTGGTGTGTTTATTTGTTTATTTACTTATCTACATACATCACGTATGATGCTAAAACTGTAGATGGCAAACATAAATAAATACACATATATGAGTATCAACATACTATATTTCCTGTACGAAGTATGTCCATGTCGACCTCAGGTCCAGGAGTGGCAACAGCAGCATGATGAGTACGGGCCGCTCTAACATGGCAGGCCGGCAGGGACTCTGGGATTGGTCCCGGTTCCCGGTTCCCGGTGAGCCCCAGCGGTGCCGAGGTAGCGTGGAGACTGCGCCTGATGCGGAAGGGGCATGATGAAGGGGCATGATCAGGATGTAGAAGTCAGCCAGAAAGTCTCTTGGCAGAAACTTGCAGAAACTTGCAGAAACATGCAGAAACATTGTCACACTACATATCTCTTCGTGGGCAGCATTGGGGATTTAGAGCCCAAGCCTCACGTTGGAAGAGCCGGGAACACACATATCTCGAGATCAGAATGCCCTTGGAGAATATTGAATAGACATTTTTGTAATATCAACCGCACCCAGAAATGCAACACAGAACCCCAACCTCAAACGATTTACCAATTGTAAAATGCCAATTTTGCGATTGGGAACAGAGAGAAAATTGTTGCATGTGTTTGCCGACATGTTGCCGACATTTGGCGAAGAATTTCTGCCATAACTTGGATCAGCATGGCATGCTGATTCCCCAGCAGGTGTGAAAGGCTTTCGGCATTGGGTGACGCGATGTTGAAGGTTGGCTAGAGAAACGGTGGGAGGTCTCCAAAATATTCACAAGCATCCACAACTGCAGATTTCAAGGCCGTGGCTGTAACTCATATACACACTGCATGCACATCTAGTGTAATATATGGGTATATGATATTGTATAGATGCGTATGGCATATTTGTGCAGATTGCCCATAAGTCGAAGAGCGGGAACGGTTTTTTACTCATGTTGGGAAAGCTGAACCAAGTTCGACAATAGAATCCCTGTGCCTTTGGAGACCTCCCCTCGGCCAAGTCATTAAATTTCAGCTAGGCAGAGCAAGATCTGGTTGTTACAGTCTGCGAAATGTGGTAAGTGAGGAAGTCATCAAAGTTTGAGATGTTTGAGTATTGGCCTTTATGTACTCAGCCGTTCAAGCAAAGATACTGTCAGCCTGTGCTTCAGCAAGGGAGAGCCAGCATTGCTCGTGCCTAGACGTTCGGAGCAGGGTTTTTCGGCTCCAGTACAGCAGTCTCGAAAAGGCAACCCATGGCAAAGCCATTGGAGTTTTGCAACAAAAGAAAAAAGGAATAAAAAGGGACAACAAATTGGCCACAATGGTGTGATGATAGCTGCCAGTGCGGAACGAACTGATTTCTGCTGTTTTGCGAGCCAATGGGCCAAGCTTTCAGTAGCACATACTGATTACACAGGTTTTGCCCTTTCCTCAACATATCATTTCCACTTGCGGAGGCTGCGTGCCTGTGCTTATAGCAAGTCTTCATGGAGAGGCTGGGCTGTTGGGGCCCCTGGGGCCCCTGGGCTTCAGCTGGTTTGAAAAAAATGTCAATTTCAACATACCTAGCAGGCAAAAAACATCATATATACATATTCACAAATTTAATTTATTCATTTTATTTATTTATTTGTTCATTTCTGTGTTTATTTTAGATAGATAGATAGATGGATAGATGGATGTATGGATGGATAGATCGATCGATAGATATCATAGTAGGATCATGGCAGGATGCATTGGGACAGTGCCAAGGTGGCCATGGGGGTCCTGCAGCTGTGAACCACGCCTAGCAGGCTGAGATCAGACGCGCAGCAGCCAAGGGCATTTGCTCCCTGATGAAGCGTGCACCACAACCGGAGCTGCGGAAGGCTCAAGTGGTGGTGCAGGTTGCAGGAGGTTAGCTTCAGGTTTGGTTGATGCAAAAATCATATATAAAAGAACTTTCTTGCACTGGAAAAAATAGAAGAAACAAAAAGAAACAAAAGACATACAAGGAAATAAAAGGAAATACAAAGAAAAAACAATATAATTAATTAGATAAACTAAAAAGCACATTCCATTTAATTTAATCTGTTCAGACTGTGGTTCATGTGACAACACCGGACTCTGAGATCCAAAATGCTGCCAAAGCACAAAATGCTACTTGTACATTTGCAAGTTATTGGTTTTAAACACAGTGACAGCTTTACGTTTTTTTTCTTCATTTTTCATTTGTTTTCGTTTAATTTTCATTTTCCCACTCTTTTTTCACCATTTTCTCCTAATTTTCGAGGTGGAAAGACGAAATAAGAACAGAGAAAACCAGTTTTTTTGATTTTTTTGATCGTCAGGCTTATTTTCTCAACTAACAACCAAATGCAAGTTATCCCACTCCCGAAACCCAAGAGATAACCAGAAAAACAATGGGTTTTCGAGTCTTTTTTTGCGTTTTTTCGGCATGTTCTCTACCCCCACGCTTGTTGGTGTTTGTTTTGGTGTTTTCTTGTCCGAAATGTTTTCATGATCATATTTTTCATTTGTGTTTCATTTTCTTGCATTTTTTAATCTGTTTCATTTTTGTTTCCTGTTCTTTCATGTTTTCATTGGAAAACCCATTGCCAATCCAGACCACTGACATGAGGTACCACCACTTAGTTTGCTGAAATAAAATAAGTAAATAGATAAGTAACTAAATAAATACACACACTAGATTGGAATGGATCATTATATGATCCATCAGGAACTGAGTCCTGTAACGTGCAGATTAGATTAGTTAAATACGGATGAGTATTTATATATATATATATATGGGACTACGGTGACCACCAGCTGCGTCTTAAATGCGCCCAGGTGCGTCACCACAGTCCCGCGGGTACATTTACACGGGTCCCCGGGAGGTGTCTTCGTTGGTCACCGACCTCACAGGGACCCCGGT